AAGGGGGAATGGACAGAGAAGTCTGTGCCCCCTTCACACTCCACTTCAGAGCCTGGAATGGAACCCAAGATTCCAGAGTCTCGCCATTCCTCTGCTATCAACAAATAACTATGAAATCCTCTGGCAAAGTGTCTCATCCCACCTCTAGTGCTGGTCCACAGAGGATGACTACCTTCTACTGCTATCAGTCCACTAGGTCAAGTGACTGAGGTCTGTGTAGTGGATATAAAGGGTTCCAACCCTGCTGTTGATCCATGTGGGTGTCAATATGATGACACATGATAGAATTTATGTTTTTTCAGTTGACTACAGGGAGTCCTCAGACTTACGACACCCGACTTATGTTGGACTCTACTTATGATGCTTTTCAATTGACTGCCCGTTTCACCCCTACGACGCTTGGTTCGCCCTTACGATGCTCAATTTGCATAAAGTTCACTTGAAATCACTTCCTGGTTGCGTTATACTGGTATGGAGCTGGAAGGGGTCACTTCTGATTGGCTTTGAGGCAGCAGCTTGTTGCTGGGTAGGGTTGCTGCTTGGTTTTGATTGGCTGAGCCCAGGGCGGGGAGCCAATCAGAAAGCTTGAACAGTGATTGTCTGAGGCTCAACATGTGTGCCATTCTCCCTGGCTTTCTGAGCCTGTGTTGCCAGCATTCTGAGCAGCATATGTGAGTTTATATGTTTATTTGAATGCTGTTTACAGTGTACAGTAAATACATTGATGTTGCAACATTAGTTATCTATAATTCATTTAGTACAAAAAATCTGGGTTATTGTGGTGAAAATAGTGTATCAGGGCTCGGTTCAGGAACCAATCTCCGCTTCATCCCATTGATTCCTATGGGAAAACAATTTCGACTTACAATGTTTCGACTTATGACACAATTCGTTCCTCAGAATTGTGTTGTAAGTCAGAGGACTCCCTGTATTTTAAAAATGTAGGAAATTACACACTAAAAAATTGTGTTAAAAGAACATTATTAAGGTTGCAATACCAAGCACCCAAAAACTAGGAAATGCCTGAATTAAGATTATACATTTAATTTAATTCGTCCCCCTTGTTCATATACATTATGATACAGTTTCTGTGCCATGATTACATAGTATTTTTTCCACAGACCCCTGCCTCATTCAGTGCACAGGATGGGTCTGCTCGGGGGATTAAACAGGGTTGTGTAGTGAAGGAGACTTGTCTGTAGGACCCTGCCTCATTTGTGGCAGAAAATGGGTAATGTGTCGTGAATGAGGCACAGGATGCAAAGAGAATCATAGAATCATAGAATATCAGGGTTGGAAGGGACCTCAAGAGGTCATCTAGTCCAACCCCCTGCTCAAAGCAGGACCAATTCCCAACTAAATCATCCCAGCCAGGGCTTTGTCAAGCCGGGCCTTAAAAACCTCCAAGGAAGGAGACTCCACCACCTCCCTAGGTAACGCATTCCAGTGCTTCACCACCCTCCTAGTGAAATAGTGTTTCCTAATATCCAACCTGGACCTCCCCCACTGCAACTTGAGACCATTGCTCCTTGTTCTGTCATCTGCCACCACTGAGAACAGCCGAGCTCCATCCTCTTTGGAACCCCCCTTCAGGTAGTTGAAGGCTGCTATCAAATCCCCCCTCATTCTTCTCTTCTGGAGACTAAACAATCCCAGTTCCCTCAGCCTCTCCTCATAAGTCATGTGCTCCAGACCCCTAATCATTTTTGTTGCCCTCCGCTGGACTCTTTCCAATTTTTCCACATCCTTCTTGTAGTGTGGGGCCCAAAACTGGACACAGTATTCCAGATGAGGCCTCACCAATGTCGAATAAAGGGGAACGATCACGTTCCTCGATCTGCTGGCAATGCCCCTACTTATACAGCCCAAAATGCCGTTAGCCTTCTTGGCAACAAGAGCACACTGTTGACTCATATCCAGCTTCTCGTCCACTGTGACCCCTAGGTCCTTTTCTGCAGAACTGCTACCTAGCCATTCGGTCCCTAGTCTGTAGCAGTGCATGGGATTCTTCCGTCCTAAGTGCAGGACTCTGCACTTATCCTTGTTGAACCTCATCAGGTTTTTTTTGGCCCAATCCTCTAATTTGTCTAGGTCCCTCTGTATCCGATCCCTACCCTCTAGTGTATCTACCACGCCTCCTAGTTTAGTGTCATCTGCAAACTTGCTGAGAGTGCAGTCCACACCATCCTCCAGATCATTAATAAAGATATTAAACAAAACCGGCCCCAGGACCGACCCTTGGGGCACTCCGCTTGAAACCGGCTGCCAACTAGACATGGAGCCATTGATCACTACCCGTTGAGAGAGAGGGTGGTCTCATGATTAAGGCAGTTGATTGCTGCCCTGGAGAATTGGATTCTATTCCTGTGTCTACCATAGTGGTATTATATGATGCTCGACAAGTCACTTAACCAAACTTTTCATGGTGGTCACTAATTTTGTGTTCCTCATTTTCTGGGTGCCTGAGTTGAGATCTTGGTGTCTGATCTGCAGAAGTGTGGAGCATTCACAGTTGCAACTGAAGTGAATGGGAGCTGTACTTAGTATTATATAGCACTTCATTTGTTCAAAGTACTCTGAAAAATCATGTCCTAGTCATCTCAAATTGGTTACCAAAATTAGTGGATACTTTTGACCTTAATCTCTTTGTACCTCAGTTCTTCAGCTGTAAAATGGAAATGATAATAACCCCTTCTCATTTGGGTGTTGTGAAAGTTAGTTAATGTTTATGAATCACTCAGATACTGTAGAGATGAGCACCATAGAAAAGGCCTGGAGGAAATTAATAATCCTGTCTTCAGAATAGGGTATGAGTAGCGTGTAGTAAGCACAGCTTGGGGTCACGCATTGAATAATGAAGGAAAACAAAATATTGAATAGGTGCCCATCCTGTGCATTGAGTGAGGTAGGAATCCCATTGAAAAAATAGTCTGTGAGTGGATAAACTGCTGCCTTTAGAGCTGGGTGGCTGGAGAGCGGCGGCTGTTGGTCAGGTGCCCAGCTCTGAAGGCAGTGCCTCGCCAGCAGCAGCGCAGAAGTAAGGGTGGTAATACCATACTATGCCATCCTTAATTCTCCACTGGTGCCTTCAGAGCTGGGCGGCCAGAGAGTGGCGGCTGCTGACTGAAGGCCTGGCTCTGCAGGCAACAGCGCAAATTCCCATACCATGCCATCTTTACTTCTGCACTGCTGGTGGTGGCAGCTCTGCCTTCAGAACTGGGATCCTGGCCAGCAGCCACTGCTCTCCATCTGCCCAACTCTGAAGGCAATGCCACTGCCAGCAGCATTACAGAAGTAAGGGTAGCAGTACCGCAACCCCCCCTGCAATAACCTTGTAACCCCCCCACGGTCCCCCCCACACACACACCTCCTTTTTGGGTCAGGACCCCTACAATTACACCCTGTGAAATTTCAGATTTAAATAGCTGAAATCATGAAATTTATTATTTTTAAAATCCTATGACCAGGAAATTGACCAAAATGGACCATGAATTTGGTAGGGCCCCACTCATAATATGCACAAAGAGGTTGAATTAAGGTTGCACAGGTAGCTTTAATCCATTTTGGACAGCCACCAGGCCTGACTTTTATATTGTACAGTACCTGTACTTTTGTTACTTTCATAATATATTATCTTATACCTTAAACCAATATATTTTTGGACTACTCAGAAGTCGTTTGTCATGGATCACATCCTGTCACGTTCTCACTAGCATCTATTTAAGTTGCGCTGAAAGGTTTCAGCCATTTTTTTTAGGTGTCATATTTGGTTATCGGCTTGCCTAGACTAGAGAAGTTCCTGTTATAAATACGTGATGACAGATCATCTTCTCTCCAAGAGCAACCGGTGGAAGGCCGGGCAGAGGGGACTAAATGCTGTGAGGTTCCCCCTCAGAGTTTAAAAAAAAAAATTGTCCTGCCTGGCGAGATTAGGGGGTCACAGAATAGGTGAAGTGATCCATATATCCCTTGAGACAGGAGTCATCATATGTGGATGGCTGTCCCTGAACCCGGCTATGCTTGCCCCTTTTTTTACTGTTGAAGTTACTACAGGACCTATTTGCTTCTTTGGACTGAATCCCTGTGCAGCAGCTGCAGAAAGAACACAGTGGGAGCTAATGTTGCTTCAAGCCGTGTGCATCTGCTTTTTGGCTTGCAAAGCTTTGCAAATGAAAGTTACTAATAAACAGCAAGAAGTTTAGTATCAGAATTAATCACGGATTAAGTATGAGTTGCATGACACAGGAGTTTTAGTAGTGTTTACGACTGCTGAGATAACTGAAATGATTCAGGCAGGCTCCTGATTTGAAATGCAAAATGATACTATTCTGGAAATGGTTCTCAAATAATTTCACATGCTGTTTGAATACGTATTCAAAGCGTATATTGTCCTGGGCCAGGTAGGATTTTTTTATATTGTTAATAATATTGATTTCTCCTTTATGTTGGTATCGGGAGCTGTCTCTTACTTTCAGAGTAAGAATGGTTTCCATTTTGGATAAACGCTCATCATTTATCTAAACTACTCCTGAGGAATCCTCCCCCCTCCCCCAAGAAAGGGGGGTGTTATGGTTGTGAACATACGTAGGTAGTATCGTACCTCTGATCTAAGCCAAGGATGGACTTGACTGAGTAGATTCTTCCAAATTCTTACTACTGTGATCTTATTATACATGTGTACTCTGACTTACCATTATGAATGTTAATGGATTTGTTTCTAATGTATCTTTTGGGGGGGGTTTTACTTTCTTTACTTAATTCAGATCTGGAGTTATTGAATATACATACGTGTAAATGCAAGGACATCTAGTAATTAATATAACATTATAATTTAAATTTAAATATAAATATAAAAATATTTAAAATGTGTGGTGAAAACTATTTTTTTTATAAAAACATTTTTAAAAGATGTTTAGTTTTACAATTTTAATGTTTTCAGTTTTTGATATAATTATTTTGTAAATACTTACATACTGTATTTATTGTTCCTTATTGAACAGATTGCTGAGTAACTGGATTTCCAATCACAGAAGGAAAATATCATGTCTCGATCACGCCAGCCCCCTCTTGTAACTGGTATCTCTCCCAATGAAGGGATTTCATGGACAAAAGTCACAATTAGAGGAGAAAACTTGGGAACTGGGCCAACAGACCTCATAGGTAAATTCAGAGAAATGGTTTGATGCATTCCACTTTTTTAGACTGCAAGTAACTGCTTGGTGACAGATTCTGATATTTTTACATTCAGAGGAAATAAACGATGGGTAGTATGATAATATACAATTATCCCCATGAGTTTGGAAGGATGCTTTTGAATTGGTAATGTACACGTTAAATATATGTGTACCTTATTACGTATGCCAGAGGTGGTTTGTCTTGTAGTTAGAGTCCATGGGTGAAATCTGGCCGTAGTGAAGCCAATGAGAGTTTTCTCTTTGGTTTCAATTGAACCAGGATTTTACCCCATGATTGTAAAACAGAACTCCTAAGTTCTGTTCCCTACTCTGCCAGTGACTTTTGTGGCTGTGTTCAAATTGTTTAACTTTACTGTGTTTCAGTTTGCCATCTAAAAAAACAGTATAACAACATTTTCCTGCTCTGACCAGAGTGTTGAAGCTTAGTGAATATTTGTTTAAAAACACAACCAAACAAAACAAAAAAACCTTTGATATATGTAGGTAAAAGGCACTATATATACACAATTTTTGTTGTACTTTTTAGCAGCATTCCAGCTAATTCACCTGGACTCTGTCTTGCCACTTGAAGTCATGCTATGCCACACCACACCCCCTCCAATAAATACACCTGGGCAATTGTGCATTACTTTACAGTGTAAATAAGTCTTCTTTCAGATCTTTGCTGCTAATCATCTTCTGTGTTGTTGTAGGAGAGTTGAAAGTCATTGCAATTTTTATCTTAGCTTATTTAACATTTAGTTTATTCTGGGGAGTGTCTAAAGGTACATCTACACGTCTGTGGCTGGCCCGGGTCAGCTGACTTGGGCTTGTGGGGCTCTAAAATTGCAGTGTAGAAGTTCTGGCTTCCACTAGAGCCCGGTCTCTGAGACCCTATGAGTGGGGAGGGTCTCAGAGCTCGGGCTCCATCCTGAGCCCAAATGTCTACACTGCTATTTTTAGCCCCACAGCCGAGTCATGTGATCCCATGTCAGTTGATCTGAGCTCTGAGACTCAGTGCCATGGGTTTTTTATCGCAGCATAGACATTCCCTAAGGTCCCAGTCTTGCAAAGAGTTACACACGATGGGAGTACTCACACTTGTAAGTCTTTTTTGGATTCAGGCCTAATATTTTTATAAACCTCAGTTAAACTCTCCTTACCACCTGCTGCCAAAAAGCATTACAATTCAATAAAAAGTAGAAAATATTATGTGCTTGAGAATAAACTGAGTACCACATGTATGAAGAAAGAGAATATGCCTTTTTACGTCATTCTGTTAAAGACAACCAGGTTGTAAGTCACTTGCGACTTTGAAACTTTAAAAACACTTGCAGAAAATTTAAGAAAATACTTTTCATTTATAAGGAAGTTCTGTCATTTGGGAACAAAGTTTGTTTCTGGATTCAAATATGTATCGAGGGAGATCTTTTGTCAGTTTTAAAGTTTTAGCCCTGTGCCATTACTATATTTAGTGTGGTATGCAAAACATTAATGAGGAGCACATACATTACAGTGCCATGTCATTTATTATTCTGTGAGGTGAAGCCGATTATAGCAAATTTTTAAGTTAGTGGACTCCTTAAGTCCCATGTTCCCTGAGTAGTAATATTTATTTAAGAAATAAAATTGAAGGCAGGAAAGAAACTCTTAAATAATGTAGAAATCTTCAAATGATTTTGCACAAGTATAAACATTTCCTACATATTTTAGTGAAAATCCAAGTTAAATTATTCCATCAAGTTAAATTAAGTAGTAATTAAATGAATCTTATTGAGTGAACCTTAAAACTGACCTACAAAGGAGGAAACAGGCTGCTCTTTTTTGCTTCTTTTGATGTATAAAAACATTCTGAATGTTGTTATAATTAAAAAAAAAAATGCTTTTTTCCCCTTGCTAGTCTTTACACTAGAAAAGTCTGGTGTTGTCTACCCTGGTTTTGTGGGATGACTTTATGTATACTTGACAAACTAGTGGCAATTATATCATAAGACAAGAGTCTTTAAACAGTGACTAAAAATCACTTTCCCTCTCAATTGCCCAGGTTTCAAAGTCTGATTTCTTTATTTCTTTATTATTTTCTTAGCACCTACTTAATTCAAACTCCTATCACACACTTGAGAAAAAGTTCTTTGTTAAAGATTCAACTGTCTCACCTTTTCAGTCGGGGCTGAGAAAAGTTTCACTCCAGCCTCTTATTTTTGTCCTTCCAAAAATTCTGGGCAAAAGCCAGAAAAGACAGGGTTTGATATTTCATACATTCTGAAGGCAAAACACAAACATAAAACCTACCTTTCTTTCTTTTTCTTTCTTTCTTTCTTTTTCTCTCCCCCCCATCCCCTGAAAAAAAAACACCCCACAAACAATAACACACAACTGCACAGAGACAAGATTTATTTCTCTGCTGGTCACCTTTACTTTAGATCTTAGTTCCTCTGGTACCATTGGCACATCTGGGAGTCCAGTTCCTCCATTGATTACGGTCACTCACTAGTTTTGTAGTAGTTCAGGTGATGCCAGCACATTGAGTTTACTATGTCACTGTCTTTTGCCAGTTCTTCCTTGGTCTTCCTCACTTTCTCCTTCCTCCCACAGGTACAATGCTTGCTTAACACTTGCTCCAATCTTCCATATGTTATACATGTCCAAATCACCTGAGCCTTTTGTTGTTGTTGATATTTTCTAACATGTTCTGCTCTGTCAGCTTCCTTACTCTTGCATTTGTTGTTTTGTCTTTCCATAAAATGTGTAATATCTTCCTCAGCCATCTGTGGAGATTACCCATCAATTGCTTTGTGTTAGCCATTGTCTCTGCTCTGTACAGTAGTGAGCTCAGTACAGTCACATGGTATAGTCATGGTTTAGTTTGATGTGAAAGACCTCTGTTTGCTTTTCCTAATCTTGTATGAATATCTTTCACAGTCCCCTTCAAATGTCATCACATTCCCAAGATAGCTGAACTCTTCTACCTGTGTGATTTCTTTTCCATTCCCATACATCTTTACATCTGTTGTCCAGTTTCTGACCTTCATAACTTTTTACTTTCAATCCAATTTTTGCTGCTTCCTGTTCTACATCTGATATGAGGGGAATCATTCAGTTCCACATCATACTTAGTAAAGCAATTTCATCAGCAAAGTCAAAGTCATGTAACTTATCTCCGCTAACCTATTTTACACCATCCATAGTGCCTTTTTTTGCCCTCTTCATCAACCAGTTGGATGCTGATTCAAAGAGGATTGTTAAATAACACAGATCCTTGCCCAGCTCCAGTCACAATATCACAATAGTCACCCAGGCCTATATGCGACCTCACTGCACATCTGCTTCCATCATATAAACTCCCTTATTATGTTGATCAGCTTAGTATCCCATAGCTTCTAGTAATAGTCTACAAATGGCGTCGTGTCATTGCCAAAAAAGGGTGCTCTCATTCAGTGCATGAACTGGAGAGGTACTGCAATCAGTATTGGATACCATTCTGCTGAATAGAATGAAGAAGGCAGTGGATGGTCACCTTTAAAAAATATATAATTTATCTACCATCCTTGTACATTTTAAAAATAATTCTTTCTGAATATTCCACTCTGTTGTAACAAGCATTTTAGTCCCCTTAAAAAAAATGAATTTGGCCAAGAAGAGATGTGCTATCTGACAAAAACCTCAATCCTGCCAAATTTATCTGCTGTGTACATTCAAAGAATTAAATTATGAGAAAAGAAAGTGTGAAATATTTGGGGCTGTGTGACACATGTGGACCTTTTTCATGTAAGTATCTGTTAAATTGGTAAGAGGTTTCTAGAAATTGAAAATACAAACCAACCCAATTTTTAAAAAAAACTGGCATTGTCTGATTACAGTGATGTACCATCTGTATTGGGGCAGAAGCTAATCTAGACACCTATACTGAAAACCTGAATAATTAATATTTGTGCAGTGTTTTGAAGATATAGAGGCTGATCAGCAATGTACTTAGTACATAGGGAGAAACAGTTTCAAAAGCACCTAAATGATTAGGAGCTTAAGTCGTATTTTCAAAAGTGCCTACCTCCCACTGAAAATCAATAGGGCTTAGGTTCATGCTTTTGAAAAATATACCCATGATTTCCTTACTGTATTGGGTCTACAAAGTACTATAGAAGAGATACAGATGAGAGCACCTCAATGATCTCTAACTAGGCTTGGAAGGATTAGATTTTTATCCGTAAATGTCAGTAAACATTGATTTCACTGTACATACACAAACCCACAACAAATACTTACAGTGATGGTAATCAAAATATAAAGATAGGCAAAGTACAAAAAATGCTGCTTGAGAACTTATTAGAGTCAAAATCCAGTTATTTAGATTTTTGGATTAGACTTGTTACAAATGGATTAGGGAATGAATAGTAACAATGGGTCTGATTTGTTGATTTAAGGATATTTACTTTGTATATTTTGACATGTGATGTTGACAATTTGTGTTTTAACAGCTTATAACGCTTAATAGTTTGAATCTGTCTATTTGTCATTAAATAATTGTCTGACCTCCCCCACCCATAATTTTCCACAACTGTGAAAGTTTAAATGCATAAAAATAGGAAAAAATGCTTAAAAATAAACATCAATATTATTCATCTAAATTATAAAAGACAGGATTGGCAGAATTCTTTTATTTGTTTATAACATGTCTAGATAAACAGAAAACTAACTATTATAAGACAGACTGTATTTCATCAGTTTTATTCACAGTAAGTCTTTGATTTCCAGGTTTAACAATCTGTGGACACAACTGTCTGCTGACTGCTGAATGGATGTCTGCCAGTAAAATAGTGTGTCGAGTGGGACAAGCTAAAAATGATAAGGGGGACATTATTGTCACTACAAAATCAGGTGGCAGAGGAACTTCGACTGTTTCCTTCAAACTCCTGAAACCTGAGAAAATAGGTATTTTGCCTCATTCAAACTTACAATTACTTTTGCTAAATAATTAAAATTGACTAGATGTCTTTGGTTTTGTAAATAAATTTTATTTATAAAATTTAACCCACTGATAGTTGTTCCTTAGTTACTCTTTACTTGTTTAGTACTTGCAAAATATATACTAACAATACACATTTTGAGTTGAAATCTGCCTTTTAGGTATACTTATACGTTGGTCATTGAAGGCATCTGTTTTTCTGAAAGCGAAAACTCTTTGATTTCCTTCACACACTCCTACCCTTTAGAATGGATATTAATACTTGCAAAAATGACAGTCCCAGTAATCAAGTTCTTTAATGGGCTATTAAGCTTAATGAATCAGTAAAAGACACAAAAGGAACGTGGACAGTACACCTATAGTTCCTTCTGACTGTTATCCTTTTAAAAAAGGAGTTGAATGTTGGATGCTGTTATAATTAAGCAACATTAGCAACTAATACCTGGTAAGACACACACACACAAAAAGACCTTTTTGGGGTATTTCTAGTGTGTTGTTTAATAATTAAGAATGTTGTCAAGTAGTCTAACCCCAAATTTCATCTGCAATCCTGTCAAAAATGTCGTTTGAATAAAAAAAAATTAGAATCCAATCTAGATCATTGAGAAATTAAGACAGGCACTGTTTATATAAGGGCTACACAAAAGCAACAGTTTAGGTTCTTGTTTTCTATGGTTCCAATGGCAATTAAATAACACATACTTTCCCCAGAGCTGTTCTAATGTTTTACAATCCAAATATTAATATTTCAGATTTTATTAGAAACTTGTGGGAGGGGAAAGTCTTGGGGAGGAAGAAATCTGTGTTTTGCCAAACAGCAAAAGTCTGAGGGCCTTGACATGCTCCCTATGCTTGAGCTGTTGGGAGGAAGCCAGTTCTCTCTGCTCTACACTCATTGAGGACTGCCACATACTGCGGGACTTGCTAGCTAAGGGGCTTGTGGCCAGAGTTAACTTTTATTCTGGCTGAGTGGTGAAAATGAGGAATTTTCCCCAAAATTTATGAAAAGAGAGACTACCACATTAGCAGCTGGTATCTTTGGCGGGTGACAGGGTTGGAGGTGATGAGTAAAAGACTTGGAAAAGTGCTATTTTATTATTTTCTGTTAACTTGTCCGTGTTGGTACTTTGTATCTTAAACAGAACAGTGCAGTCTGTGAGATGTAAGGTGTGATGCCCTGCCACTGATACCTTTCCAGCTACTCTAAGCAAATAGTTTAGCATAATTGTATCCAGGTTGTTTTGTTCTGTATCTTCCAAAATATTACCTAGGCATGCATTTTATATTTTTCAGTCTTTTTCAAATTAATTCAGTATGGACGAAGTTGATGGTGCTGGACAGCTTTTGTTGTTTTAAGGATATGTGCTTTATTTTCTCTAGGTATCTTGGATCAGTCTGCTGTCTGGGTTGATGAAATGAACTATTATGACACGCGCACTGACAGGAACAAAGGGATTCCCCCCTTGTCTCTACGTCCAGCTAATCCGCTTGGTATTGAGATAGACAAGTGAGTACCAAATGCCTTTAATCCACTTTCTTAGTGGTTTTTTCTATACATCATTATATGAATTCCAGAAAAGTTTAACAGCTTATAGGGTGGGGAAAGACAAGAAAATTCAATTAGCTGATGGCACAATACCTAGTATTCAGTAGTGTTTGATAATCCTAATTTTTGTCTATATTACTGCGTGATCAATAAGAACATCAGATAACCTGAGAGCCTAGTTCATTGAACCTTGTGATGTTTACAGTTTGGGGATTGGCAAATAACTTAGGGTCTAAGGCAGGGGTCAGCAACCTTTCAGAAGTGGTGTGCCGAGTCTTCATTTATTCACTCTGATTTAAGGTTTTGCGTGCCAGTAATACATTTTAACGTTTTTAGAAGATCTCCTTCTATAAGTCTATAATATATAACTAAACTGTTGTTGTATGTAAAGTAAATAAGGTTTTTAAAATGTTTAAGAAACTTCATTTAAAATTAAATTAAAATGCAGTGCCCCCCAGACCGGTGGCCAGGACCCGGGCAGTGTGAGTGCCACTGAAAATCAGCTCGCATGCTGCCTTCGGCACACGTGCCGTAGGTTGCCTACCCCTGGTCTAAGGGTTTATACGTTGCAGTTATAGAATTCTCAGTGTTGTGCTTGAGTTCTGTGGGGCTTTTAAGCACATTTAGATAGATATCTCTTGCTAGTATTGCAATGTGAAATATGTTTTATGTATCCATCAACTAGTTTACTTTTATTGAAACATTAATATGGGTTTCTAACCACAAACTCCTTGGCTTTCGTTCACAAATATTGTAGACTTTATAAAATTGCTCTGTAATAAACTTACTCCCTTATTATAAATCTATCATAGGGCTTTAAAGGGATACTATCAGTGCCCAAAACATAATCGAACCTAAAATAGCATTTTGAAATAAAATTCCTAGGAAGTAAGATATCAGCCCCTTCAAAAACAAAGGCTGTTTAAAATTAGACTATTTTACTATGGGATCCATTCTGTCTGGAGTGCATGGCTTGTTTGTGATCTCTCTGTCCATTTCTTCAGAGTAGCGAAGGAGAAACTATTTCAGTATCTTCTCCTCCGCACAAGAATGGGGCAGCATGACGCATACTTGTGAATCAAGAAAGCTGAAAGTTCTAATTTTTGGCCTCTCTCAGATTTGACAGTGTACCTTTTGAAATGGTTATCATAACTATGTATGCATTTGGGATTTAATTAGGATATTGTCCCTTTATTCTTTCCACAATGGATAAAATCTTCTGTTAAATAATTATCATCATTCAAGTTTGAATATCTTCATTTCCACAATTATTTCTGTAAAATACTTGAATTCTTACCACCCTAAATCCTGGCAATTACTGTTCTCTCAAAGTCTGAATCCTATCCCTAGTAAAATATTGATAGTAATCATGTCTAGAAAATCCAAATCTGTTACTTGGTCTGCTTTCCATTCATCTGTCAATTTTGTAACTGTATCCAAACAAATGTTTGTCTGGCAAGATCTAGTCTTCATAAACCAGTGCTGCTTATTACTCATGACTTGGTTATTTTTAAGATTGGCTTTATTTTGATAAACCCTTGGATACAGTCTCAGAACCTTACTGTCAAAATGAATTCAGATCAGCTTGGCTATGATTACTGTCACATGGATTGACAACTACGTGAAAGGAGTGTAAAAAAAGGATTTAATTTAACAAATGTTAAATTGAAAGAGGAGTCTAGAAGGTACAGATGAGTTTAGTATTGGATCCAGTCTTAATATCTTCTTTAATTGTGTAGTAGTAGTAGGTAGCATGTTATAAAATGTACAGTTACTAGTGTGCAGGGAGTGGTACAAAAATAATACAAAAGGTTGTGGAAAGATCTAAAAAATCTGGGCAGAAAACAACAAGGTGAATTCTCTTAGAAAAATGCAAGGTAGGTCTGGGAAATTATAATCCCAAACACAGATATGTAATGGGGAGGAGGAATCTGGGAAGTAATAAGTCTTTCCGAGCATTATCTTTAGGTTTGACTGAGGAGAGAGAATTCAAAACAAATTAGTAGTGAGACATCTGAACAAAAAGGACCAATACAATTTTGGGCTGCATGTGCTGAGATATTCCATGACACAGCAGTGAGGTAATAACCATGACTGTAATTGGAATTTATTCTGTGGTTAATATTGAGCACCTCTTACTAGAAAGGTTTTTTTTTTTTTAAGAATTTATTTTTACAAATTGGAGGAAGTTCAAAGGACAACAGAAATGGTTGTGAGACTGAAAGGATTGATTTGTAAGGACATCTTAAAAGCTATATGGGTATAGCTTAGCTAACCACTGATTAAGTGGGGACACAAGTCTGCAAATACGGGAAGTGCATAACCATCGAGGGAGGAGAGGTGGCACAATTAGGATTAATGCAATTAAATTAAGAAAAGTAAAACTTAGACCAACTAGTTATAAGCATAACACTCTCTAATGATAAACTTTACTAGGCTTTGGAATCCCAGTGAAAGTGGTGTAAGCTGCCCCATTGGTTGGCATATTCAAAACTGGACTAGAAGTAAGCCTAGTATAATAAAGAACAATCCTGCATTACCACTAAGATGAACTAGGTGACACAACATCTTTGACTCGCTTAAATTATTTAAACATGCACACAAGTTAGGATGCATTTCTCAGGCTTAATTTCAAGCTTTAGGAATGTGCCATGAGCGTGCAGCACTGGTCTGACTTTGTGGAATTTGCATCCTCTGTGGGAGCTTGGTTTGCTGCCTGATAGAGGTGGGGGGAAATGTCAGCATACTAGCCTTGCTAATAATGGTAGACAATAGAAGCATTTAAAGAGGACTAGCTGTGGAAGGAAAGGTGTGAAAGAAGAGAGAGAAAATGGGAGGTAGCAGGGTAACAGGAGGTGAAGAGGGACCAGAAAGCACGAGGCCTAGAGTAAAGACACAGGGAAAAAAGGATCATGCCAGAATAGCATGTAAGACAGAAAAGCTGGTTCAATGATGTGAAATGACTAAATCACCTGCCCTGTGTGCTGTGTTTTTAAAAAAACAGGCATAATGCTTTCTTCTTTTTAAACAGAAAGTTGCCTCATGTGGTTTTCTAAATATTATTTATGGGACCATGTCCAATGCAAATGCATTTTGAAATGAATCATGCATTGTGAATCATACAGATTGGTATTTCCAAGATGGCTCCAAAAATGTTACTCAAGTTTTAATGATCAAACATCTTAAGCCCTAGGAATGGCTTTTAGTTTAAAAAACAACAACTTTTAACCGTTTGTACGAATGGGGAAAATGTATATAACACTGGTCTACAATTTTTGAGAAGTCGTCTGCTTCAGAGATAAAATGTGCTATTTATTATGTAATTACAAGGTTCCTCGTTCACAGTAATGCAGTCCTGTTTGAAGAGG